AGGCCAAACTTAGATTCACAAAATGTTTAGGGGTATGCGTACCCTTGCGTACCCCCAGAAAAAAGCACTGGTTGACATTATTAACCATAATAGTACAGTATGTGATTGCTTCACGTATTTTAAGAGTTTTAAAATGTTTTAAACATGTTTCATTTTATTTTTAATTGCATTGTTTTATCACTTTTGTGTTTGCTGTCCTGGTATCCTTTAGGAAAAAGGGTGGGGTATAAATTTTAATAATGATGATGAATAATAATAATACTTCATAAAACAGCATCTTCAATTGTTTTAAATTATTGTTTTTTCTATGCTTTTAGCGATTCAGTATCGGGCAAGGGAACAACCCTCCAAAAAAATCACTGAAAGGAGTACACTTTTAATCCTGACAGGTATCAGGGACAGTGTCTCATCCATCCCCCCTCTTCTGCATCTTGACTGAGCCCTAAAGTCTGTAAAAATTCCCAGTGAGGCTATCCCTCTTCTTTCATTTAATGCAAAATGAATTTTGAGATGTCCTGAGGGCTTTAAAAAAAAATTCTTTTCCCAAGGAACAATTAAAGGCCATACCAATTAACATTTCCTCCTAAGGCCAAGTGGAGCTATTGTCACGGGAAAATACTGGTTCCATGTGCTTCCAAACGACTCTGCATATTGCTATGATTTCTGTAAAGCATACCAGCCATTAAATGTGACTGGAAAACCTCAGCTTCAGCCCTCTTGCTTTGAAGTACTATACTCAGACTTACCCGAGGACACCAGAACTGCCTAGAGCCAGGGGAAAGGCAAGGCAGCTTTTCAGTGAGCTCATTTGCTTCAGGAACAGTTTGAACATGGGCGGGGGGGGGGGGGGCTAGGTGAGGGAAAATAATTAGGTTACAAATATCCACTAGCAACGATGATGGGTATTTTCACTTGAAAATACCCATTTTCACTTGGTGATGGGTATTTCAAATAAGCAAACGACGTTTTCCCCATTCCAAACAAGCAGTACAAAAATGTTTGCGAATTTGTCCATTTCAGCTTTTCTCCGTTTCTCATTTTTCCAGTCTCAAGTTCAGTTCTCCACATTCCCACATCAGTCTGCAATTTATATGTTTTTTTTAAAAAAATATGTTTTATTAATTTTCAATTATTGAAGTCCAATAACAGCCACATTTTATCAGGCAATTTCCATGTTTTTAAAAGTCCTCGTGAAAATATGTCAGTGTTTTAGTGAGGATTTTTCCTAACATACAGGTCTTTGTATGCAATTTTGCCTACTATGAACATGCTTGCAAATCACTTTTACCTCACATAATGCATTTTGTATGCTATTTTCACTAAAATACACATTTTTATGCACACCTTATTGTAGAATGCACATTTTTGTGTAGGTTACTTGGCTGGCGAACTGCATTGCAAAATTTGGAGAAGTGTGAATTTCAAAGAATGGCTGCATTTTGTTTTGTATTTTGTTTTGTGAAGTGTGAATTAGGTAGGTTCACCTTTCAAGTGAACATGACTGAATTTCTCTCACCCATTACTACACGGGTTTTCTGTCCGTTTCTTAAAACTGCTTGGATATGGCATCATTCTGGAAAAATACGGGAGGAGAATAACGCCATCAGGAGGGGGCTGGGGCATGCTGGGAAAAGAAAATGGCCATTGCTAAGAAGAAGCTAACACAAGACCCTCTTTTGCAACTGTAGAATCTTGCCACACATACTCCCCAAATGAGTAATGGATGGGTACAAGTGGGTAATGAAAACAAAGCCCTGTTTTTTACCCTTGGCATTCATTTTGTAAAATAAATGAAAATCCAACTGAGTGTGCCTCATTCAGTTTAATTTTTTCATTCATTATTAAACTGATTGCTTATTCCCTATAAAGCACCTGTCAGGCCACAATGTATTGTTTGTGGGGTTGTGTCTGCAGGCCTAACCTGATACTGCTTGTTACAAACACCTTCATTGTCCCATTCATCTGTTAATTTCCATTTAAAGGTACATTTACATTCTATATTTGACATGGCCATGCAAAATGAAAGTTATAGATAGGCGATTTTTACACAAGCTGACCTGGTTTCTCTGCTCCTGAGGGAGTGTTGTTTTTAACTGGTTGATTTATTAATTTGATGTGTTTTCTCTCTACTTGCTTTATATACTGTTATATTTTACAAGATGGTTTGATGTTGCATTTTGTCTTGTTCATTGTTAGGCTACATGGGTGCCCTAAGCAGCTATCAACTGAAATGATAAACAACGGCAAATATTTACACCTTGCAATATTTACACACATATTTACAAATTGCAAATATTTACACACATGCAAAGTGTAAAGTATGATGCACTGCAAAACATGGATTCAGTGTTCAGGATCAGATCTTGCGAGTTAATTTTGCTCAGGGAGGTACCAGGAATCTGTAATGTACAGTCTTAAAGCTAAATATCCTTTTGATTATCATGCCCCAACTGACTTTTTATTTTATTTTATGGCATGTCATTTCACCAGGGACATTGCTTTGTTTCACAGATGGTTTCCCCACAGATAATGATTGTTGGCTGGCCAAGTTGGAACCTGACAGGATTAAGGAAATCTAAACTGACAGCTGGTTTTGCGCAAGGAGGCATAATGTGGCTGTTGTTGCAAGAAGCAATGTGGCGTGTCAGTTCACAAGCGCAGAACAGGAAGGCCTCCTCTTTGCAGGATATGTAAGCGCAGTTGAGAAGTTAAAAGAGCACATCGGGGTTAGTTTTCCAGTGTACAAATGCAGTCTAACTATTTTGTAATGACATGGGGCAGGCTACACAGGCGGGGTGCCTAGATGCAGTGATCGCCTGCGTCTAGAAAAGGGAATGTGGTTCAGTACAGCTTCTCTCACAAGGCCAAGAAAAGCTGCACCTTCTGAAAATCCCTTTCCTAAATCAACAAAAATGTTGTTGCTGCTGCTGCTGCTGTTCTTTATTATCATTTGTATAACACCCTATACCCATCGATCACTGGGTGGTTCACAACACTGAATTACAATATTTAAAAACGCAAAACACATAATAAAAATAAGACCAAGACAACCCAATCATCCCCCATTCCACAACTCATTTTAAAGGGCATCGGATGTCAATCAGCCAAAGGCCTGGTTAAAGAGGAACATTTTTGCCTAGTGCCTAAAGGTTTATATTGAAGGTGTCAGCTGAACCTCCCTGGGGAGAGCATTCCACAAACAGGAAGCAGCTGCAAGAAAGGCCCGTTCTTGCGCTGCCACCCTTTGGACCTCTCACAAGAACGGTCACAAAGAAGGGCCTCAGAAGATGATTTCAGGGTCTGGGTTCATATGGAGAGAGGCTTGCACAATCCTTGAGATATGGTGGTCCTGAGCCATTTAAGGCTTTATAGGTCAAAACCATCACTTTGAATAGGGCATGGAAGCGAATTGGCAGCCTGTGCAATTGGACCTGAATCGGTATAATATGCTCAAACCGTCTTGCCCCAGTGAGCAACCTGGCAGCTGAATTCTACACGAGCTGAAGTTTCTGAACTGTCTCCAGTTCATGTATAACGCGTTGCGGCAATCTGACCTAGAGACAGTGGTCACCTTATACTGGGTCTGTGCAATGGATTCAGTCAAATCCCAGATACCGAACCAAATTTTCTGGCAAACCCCAGATACTGAACTGGGCTTTGGCTGGATGGGACTGAGATACACATACCTTAGATCATTCTAGGACAGCTCAGCCCACCCACAGCAGTTCAGGGCTGTCAAATGGTGGGAAAGTTGGGTAGCGAGCAGTGAGAAAAGGAGAGGGAGTTAGCCTTTGCAGGCTGACAAAGCAGCACCCAGCAAGATTGAACTCTCAGCTCATCACCTGGTTAGGAGAGGGTTCAATCCTGCTCTCTGCAGGGGTCTGCTTTGCTGCTGAAGCAGCACTGAGAAGGATTTAACACAGCATCTCCTCATTTTATTGCTTCCTATTGATCTTGGCAGTGAGATTTGTGATGAATAGCTTTGGGTGGAGCTATAGAGAGAGTCCTATCAGTTTTTGTTCTGGGGGAGGGGAGCATAATTACTTATTTCTGTTCTTTGTTTATTTCCCCCCCCCCCCATTTGCCTGTTATGAAATAGCATTCTATAGCTATTAAAATGTTGGGAAATGCAAGAAAATCTGTAAATGAAGCCTTCCTGCCCCTGTGGGAACAGAAACTGACTATTCAACAGTAATCCCCCAGTTGCAGTCAACAGGAAGCAGTAAACAAGTAACCTTTTAATTAACTGTAGAAAGGGCTTTGCTTAATGGAACTTACTTATGGGTAAACATTTTAGATGGATCTTGGCCAGAGGAAAAGGACATTGCTGGATGTGATATTGCAGAGCACTATTGTGGGTATAATTTGGAACCTCCAGAGCAAATTATACTTTCAGCTAATTACAGAAAAGCACTGTCTCAGGAGTGCTAGAGGATGTAAGTAATTCTAGTAGTAAGATGCATAATAAAAAGCAACAAATCATTTTTGTTTTTCTTTTGAAAAATACAAATGAGACTTAAGGGAATGTTACAGATCTGAATGAGATACTCATATCAATATTGTTGAAATATACTCAGAGTCGCAAAGTGATTTCATGCTCTTTATTCAGCTCCTAGTGGTGAGGAGGAATGAATGAAAGTCCCCTCAAAGTATCTGCTTTATATACATTATTTACACAATGGGCTGCACGTGATTGGCTAATTCTGGAATTCTACTGTAAGCCAATCAGGTTGTGGATTCACTTCTATCTGGAGCATGATTGGGTGGTTCCTGCCAACCAATCATACTGCTGCATTGTTCTAGGACCAATCAGACTGCTGCATTCTGAATCCTATTGTTCTAGGACCATTCAGACTGCTGCATTTTGGATCCTATTGTTCTAGGACCAATCAGACTGCTACAGTTTGGATCCTATTCAACTCAGTACATAACAATTGTAATCAAAGCACTAGTGCTCCACAAAATGCCGTCAAACTTTCCCCACGTTTTTCTGCTTCAATGTGTGGATAGCTCAGTTGGGTTACAGCATGGTGCTGATAACACCAAGGTCGCAGGTTCGATTCCCTTACGGGACAACTGCATATTCCTACATTGCAGGGGATTGAACTCAATGATCCTCAGGGTCCTTTCCAACTCTACAATTCTATGATTCTACTGTGGCCTTCCAGAAGTTGTTGAACTCCAACTCCCATCAGCCGCAGCAAACATGGCGAATGGTCAGGGATGGTGAGGGTTGAAATCCAACAGCATTTGGAGGGCCACAGGTTCTCCAGGCCTGGACTAAGTTGAAATGAATGTAGAGGTGGCTGCATATTTCATTCCCTGGTGCCTACAGATGCAGCGTGGAGGTGGGGCAAACACAGTGGCATGTTTGACAAACTCCTTTGTAGAGTTGTAACCTAATTAAGTGAAGTAAAGTGCTGGGCTCATAGAAACTCTGACAACAAAGTTTTAACAGACCTGAAATGCTGAGTTGCTATGGCAATGAAGGGAAAAGTCCAAAGAGCTGAAATCTGGAAAATTCTGGGGTGGAACCAGAAATTAATTAAGGAACCTGTCAGAAAGGAGAGACTCGTTTTTCTCCCTTGCTCTGCTTTTTCTGAGGTTTCTAGTTTTAAACTTTTTATTATTAGGCAGCTCTAGCGGATTCACCTGGTGCGTTGCCCAACCTGTGAGGACTGCCAGTAAATTAGGGCTCTCTAATTATTTTAATTCAGACCACAATGTGACTAAAAACAATGGGTCATTATTAACCATAAGCACAGCTGAACAAATAAACAAGACACAAAGGCTGCAATGGAGACGAGAGGTTATTACTGCAAGATATAAAGATGTTTGGGGAGGACAGGATGCTACAGACAGCGCCAGCTCCCAGCCTCTAGAGTGAGATGAGCGCACAACCCTAGAGTCTGGCAAGACTGGCCCGTACGGGCAGGGGTACCTTTAAAAGGTTGTGCGCTCATCTCACTCTAGAGGCCGGGAGCCAGCACTGTCCGCAGACACTTCCGGGTCACGTGGCCAGCATGACGAAGCTGCTCCGGCGAACCGGCACCAGAGCAGCACACGGAAATGCCGTTTACCTTCCCGCTATACAGCGGTACCTATTTATCTACTTGCACTTAAGGGTGCTTTCGTACTGCTAGGTGGGCAGGAGCTGGGATCGAACGACGGGAGCTCACCCCACCGCGGGGATTCGAACCGCCGACCATGCAATCGGCAAGTCCTAGGCGCTGAGGTTTTACCCACAGCGCCACCCACATCCCCTCCCTCTAGCTTACCCACCAGCAACTGTTTTGTAGCATCGAGATTTTTCACACTTGCAATATCTACTTTCCTTTTTGGTTAGGATCCCAAGGCCCACAAATCAGAGCAGGGCTGCCCCAAAACACTTTGCTGCCTTCAACAAGAGACAAAATGGTAGCCTCCAGTACAAGATGGTACAGAGGGAAACTGGCAAACTGAATGTAGGGTTTTAGCCCCGATTTTCTTCTTGGATTTGATTCAGACTTGGCCAGGCCCTGTCCCTGGAGAATGTTTCAGTCTTGAGATGGCTAGGGGGAAAATGCCTAGGAAATATATCCTAACATTATAATTTTGTCTGGGGAAACCCTTCTGTAGAAGCGTGCAAGTCAATTCTGTAGAACACTATGGGGCAGGGAAGGTTTGGCTGAAACATTCCATTTTCCACAGTCTATGCAAAAATTTACCCACTCACTTGCATGGCACAAGATGTAGACTATGCCCACCCACAATTCATTCCATTGTGGTTCCCCCTCTTCATGGGATTCTCAGGGGAAAGACTATGCAAAACAGCAAATCAACACCAAGTAATCATTCAATAAAGGCATTTCATGCTTATAATTAGCATAAATTCATGAATTCCAGTCAAAGTCACCCAAGGACTCAATGAATAATGGAACAAAAAATAGGTTTTGTACTATGATTTTTTAAAATTCCTTTTACACTGATGGAACCAGCTGCAATTCTGAAATACTCTTACGCGTAATTTTATAATTGCTTTGTTTAGACAGTTGTGCTGCTTTTTTTATAATAATTTCCCTGTTCACACAGTTTTGCTTTATTTGAATGTATATTCCCACACCAACATAGAAAGTGCTAATAATTAAAATGTTTATGTCTTCTTACAGTAGAAAAAAGCCTTTGAATGGGTGGGGAACCTGTGGCCCTCCAGATATTATTGGACTACAACTCCCATCATCCCTGACCATTGACTATGCTGGGTGGGGGTTAAAAGATAATGAAAATGGTAATTGAAAGATAGTGAAAAGTGTGTTCATACATTACACTGATAGCTCGGTTGGTAGAGCATGAGATTCTGATTGTCAGGGTTGTTGGACCAAGCCCCACGTTGGACGAAAAGATTCCTGCATTACAGGGAGTTGGACTAGATGATCTTTGTGGTCCTTTTCAACTCTACAATTGTATGTTTCTTTCACACTGTATGTACAGCTGTAAGAACCTAGCTCTATTCAGGGGCAATAGGAGTACCCTTGGGCCATACGATCATGCCTTTAGCCTTGCCCCCATTCACTGCGCATTTATTGATAGCTTCAATCATGCTCATGTGCAAGTTGTTCAGCAGTAGACCTTTTCTACTCCTGTAGACTCTCTTTGCAGTTTAGAACTGTGAGGTTCCACCAAACAGAAATATTACAAGCAGGCATTTTGATGCTCAGTGTCAGGCTTTGGGGAATCAGCTTCCTCCCCTGTGACCATAAATGAGCAAATCAAACGAAAGGAATTCTTACCAGTTAGTTTCTTTAATAAACACAGCAAAGGACAAAATAAATCATCTACCCAGAATGGCGGTGCTCCCAACTAAGGCTTAACCCCGCTCTGTTCCTATTAATCTACATCACTCCTATGTTTTGTAAACTGAGCTTGTACCCTCTGCGCTTTCTGTTCTGAGACTTTCTGAGCTCTTCTTGACCTTGCGCTGAGTGGAGGAATGCTGTCCAATGACCGTGAATCTGTTAACCCTCTCTCTTCCAGTGTTTCTTCTCCTAGCTGTTCTCCATCCAGTATTTCCCAGCTTTTGCCTTCTGAACTATGCCCCTCTGCAAACCACTGTTCCAAATCTATACTGTCCTCCTGCTCCTGGGAAGATGCAGGAGCAGGAGCAGGGGGAGGGGGTGGCTCCCACCATTCGTCCTCAGTGCAACCCTCCACAGCACGGTCCCTGAAACTCAGATTTTTTCCTACCCTGTCTTGTTAAAGGTAAAGGGACCCCTGACCGTTAGGTCCAGTCGCGGACGACTCTGGGGTTGCGGCACTCATCTCGCTTTACTGGCCAAGGGAGCCGGCGTACAGTTTCCGGGTCATGTGGCCAGCATGACTAAACCGCTTCTGGTGAACCAGAGCAGCGCACGGAAACACCGTTTACCTTCCCGCCAGAGCGGTACCTATTTATCTACTTGCACTTTGACGTGCTTTCGAACTGCTAGGTTGGCAGGAGCAGGGACCGAGCAATGGGAGCTCACCCCATCGCGGGGATTCGAACCGCTGACCTTCTGATCAGCAAGCCCTAGGCTCAGTGGTTTAGACCACAGTGCCACCCACATCCCTGTCTTTTACTTCCAGACAATTTGTTAGTTGAGCATTAAGCAAATGTTACCCCACACTTTCCAGTACATTTCCCCATAATTTTCCTTATCAGAAAACACTCAGTTTGGAAGAAAATGGGTTTGTTGCAGAAAAGTGCTAAATCAGCTTTAATGGTACAACATGAATTTGTCAGCTTGTGATTGAATCCACCCAAAAATAGGGTCTGAAAGTGCCATCTGAGGTACTTTGCCCTTGCCTCATCAATGGCAGCTGCAAATATGAGGGTCCTGATGGGTATTTCTGTCCAGAGACATAAACTGAGGTACCTGTGAGACTCTGAGGACTTGAGTATACATTTATATACTGCCCAGGCTGGCACAGTGGGGAGCTAATTGTGGTGCTGCTAATGCAATGGTTTGACTTCACCCCCGGAGATGGACTCCATTGTCTCTCGAGACAGAGGCCACTGGCAGCATTTATATCCCACCTTTCTTCCAAGGAGCTCAAGGTAACATACAGAGTTCTCCCCCCTCCTCATTATATCCTCACAACAATCCTGTGTGTGGTAGGTTAGCTTGAGAGACAGTAGGCTATATTCAACTAAGTTGTTGCACTAACAGAAGCTAGAGTAGCAATTCCCACTAACAAAATTAGACACCCCCCTCCCCACCTGTGAAAATATAAATTAGTAGGAGGGAACATGCAAATTCTTCTCTAAAAATGTTGTAATAATCCCAGTTAAGGTCTGGCTTTGGTTGTGTTGCTTTGTGTTGCTCCCAGAAGGACAGCTTAGAAATTTGCAGAAGCTTTGCCTGATGTAGACTTTGGAAGTGCATATAATTTCACTGGGCCAATCTCTATGGCTGTCAATCTATTAAAGTGCTTAATAATGAAATCTGCCAGATTATCCACATCTGGCACAATAATACACACAGATTAGTTGAGTAAAATGCAGGGTTATTTGGTGAAATTTCCAGAAAACCACTACATGGCACTGTGTTTTGTTTTGTTTTTTTGTTATTTATTTATTATTTTAATAGGTCAGGAACCTTGGTCCAGTCTACCTCAAGTACTGCTTGGTTCATTCTATGCCATGCCCAATCACTGAAGTCTTCAGCGGGGTCCCTGTTAGTGGTCGCCTTTGGCTTGGATGCATGACACATACGTATCCACCAGGAACTGTGCATATTGCAGGCCAAAGTTTATGGAATTCTCTTCCAGTTAAGGTCAGACAGGCCAGGTCATCTGGGGAGTCACCCCTAACATGCACCAGGTGCTACGATCCCACTCAGGCTACCATTGGGAGAAGAGCTATGGCCCATCAGCCCCCATGTGGACTCCCAGACAGATTCGCCCCTCCTGGACCTCTTTAACAGCGTACCTAATCAGCGAAGGATCCAACCCAATGTCAAGTTGTGACTGTTGCTATGAGGTAGGCAAAAACCCACAGGCCAGCCAACTGCTTTAAAAATTCCTCCCTGGCCCCAAATACAGCAACCAAATAAACCATAGCAAGGTCCTCACACTGGCCTGCCTGCTCACCTCCAGGCAGAACACTCACAGCCTGGGTGGACAGGGAGTGAATCCAATGGCAATTTCCCAAGAGGGTGGCTACATGAGGCCGACCCTCTTATATACCCCGGGGTGGGCCTAGCTAGCTCAGTCCCTGCCACACTCTGATTGGCTCATTCATTGAGTCCTCCTCAGAAGACCAGTGAGGCCAGAGGGGGAGGCACTGGGTGTCCCCTCTCATGACCATGCAGGAAGAAGACAACCCCTGGGGCCGGGCCATGACTGCCCCACATGGCAAACAATACTCTGCCAGAGCCCCAGATGAGTGGAGATTGTAAGCCGCTTTGAGATATTATATATAGTAAGCGATGAATAAATGTAAATAATAATAATTTTTAAAATATGAGTTTGCAGCTTTATTTCATTGCTGATAATACTGAACAGATACAGGTCATCTCATGCTTGATGCAGAAAGTGCACCATTAGAGGAGAGAGAGAGAGAGAGAGAGAGAGAGAGAGAGAGAGAGAGAAGGACACATTAAACCTTCCAGACCAAACAGCTTATTTTCCAACCCAAACACTGCTTCTCTTTAATTGCTTGCCTATTAAAGAGCACAGTGGCACAAAGGAACGCTGCAACGTAGCTACGTGCCAAATATGTTCATAAGGCTCCAGGGTAAAGTTGGGCTACATGAATCACAGCACTTCCTTGGCGTTCTTGGCACTTCCGCACGATTCCTTTCATTACTCCACCCACAGCCTCCTGAATCCTGATGGCGGCCCAGGCCAGGAGGAAGAACTGAGTGCGATTGTAGACCTGCCTCCTGAAATGAATGGATCGGAAGGAGAATCTGCTTTGCACGGTCAGGAACAGTGCCGGTTTCCAAAAGCCTGCGGAGAAGCCATTGACGATTGTTCCTTCTCCGCAGGCATTGGTTGTACGATCCTGACATTCGATCGGAGCCGCGTTCAAGCTTTGTGTCACCTTCCTTTGCCATTTGTGCGACAAAGGGGCTTCTATTAATCAGTGGAAAGGAGGGAGGCAACAGGACTGGGTACTTATCAGGGAATGGGCACAATGACAACATGGACTCTGTGCCAAACGGCAGAAAGGAAGAAGAGCAAATGCTCACTTTGGCACACTCCTTGTTCCTCTAGCGCTGAGGGGTCATTTTCACCACTCCTTTTCCTTTGCTCTTTCTATCACACTCCTCTCTCTCTCTCTCTCTCTCTCTCTCTCTCTCTCTCTCTCTCTCTTTTCTTTTTACTTTTTTTACCTCAGGGATTTAACTTTTACCTCAGGGATTTAACTTGTAAAAAAAACACAAAACAAAACACCAATACTCGGAATCTTTCAACACTTTAAAAACAGGAGTGGAAGCAGAGAGAGGAGAGCCGTACAATAAAATTCAAGCAGAAATGATATTCCTCTGTTACACAGTACCCAGAAAACCCAGCATGAAAAAGCTGAGAGTGATGCTTACATATTGTAATGTCAGGCCATTGTGTCTGCACACATGCATGCAGAGGGGGTGAGTGAGAGATCCATGCATTTCACTCATTCATTCATTCATTCATTGACTAAGCTGGAATATTTCTATTCCGCTTTATATATCTGAGGCATGGGAGGAAAACTGAGCAGCTGGATCTCACTCAGCCCGTGATGGAGGCAAGTCTTCCTTTGTTGACAGTTGGTGCTGTTTTGTTCTCTTCCTAATACCCACCTTGATGTACTTCATTGTGAAATTTAGAGCCTTCCCAGATCTATTCCTCCCAACGGCACCATAATAAAGACACTGTGCTTATCTATTGCACAAGACTCATCAAAACACCTTCTCATAAGGTGGTACCTTTCACAGAACATTTTGTTATTGGGAAAATTCCCTTCTTCCTGCTGTCTAGCAGAACCATTTGGAATTACGTGTGCTTTCTGACATTATCATTATTATTGAACACATGGGAGTAAGAGGTACCTTGGTTCTTGAACTTAATCCATTCCGCGAGTCCGTTTGACTCCTGAAACCGTTCAAAAACTAAGGAGTGGCTTCCAATTGGCTGCAGAAGCTTCCTGCACTCAAGCGGAAGCTACATTGGACGTTCGGCTTCCGAAAAACGTTCCCAAATTGGAACACTTACTTCCAGGCTTGCGGTGTTCAAGAGCCAAGCCATTCGAGTACCAAGGTACCACTGTACTAATTTTACTTTATTTGCTTGTAAAGTGCCGATGTCGAAGTTGCTTCTCCACCAGAGGCAGAAGCGGCACAGAAGCCATGTTGATGCGGGGCATGGCGGCAGTGGCGCTGGAAGTGGGTGCTGCGGTGCCAGTGGTGGAAGCAGCAGAGAAGGCAGTGCAGCAGAGTGGGGCGGGACTTCCTGTTTCGCCTTGAGCAGTGAAGTGGGACACACAACCCCAATCATCAGTCCTAACTCACGAGGGATGTGGAAGCCAGAGAGCATGTTCATAACCCTTGGCCACCAGATAATTAAATCTAAGACCACGGCACCTCCCAAAAGTTCTGAGAATTTCCCCACAAACATATATTAATTCCATCTTTGAAGGCAGTTCCCCCGCACTCACCCCGAAACTTGCAAACATTGCTGGGTTAAATCTTTCAGCCCAGTGTTAGTGAGAGCTAGTCCTGCTGACAGGATTTACAGGCCATGGAACATATATGAGGGAAGAGGTAATGACAGTATCTGCCAAGGACAAGAAACTGTATCTAAAACACAATCGTCTCTGAATTCCTCATTTAACATTGACATATATCTGCCATTCCGCTGCATAAACGCCAAAAAAGTAAGCCAGGAACAGGAATCATTCATGTTCTTTTTGATCTATTTGTTTAAGGGATATTAACCAATGCTTCAATTTTTCAAAGCAGACAAGGGGTTGTGCAGAGGGGGGCATGTTACAAGTTTGTACCAGACCAGAGAAATTATGGTTGGGCAATGACAATACTTCTTTATTAAGACAGTTTGACCTGATTGAGCTTTATGCCTAAAATATAGTGGGATAGCTAAAGGATTCTCAGCTGGAAAGGAAACCTTAAAAGGAATTGTTTTGCCTTTAGGCTCTGTTAAAGCTGCACATTCCACAGTTTATAAAGTCACCTGGTTGAAAACATTAATGGAGGAAGCATAACTTGCAGTCCAATCTCCAAACTGAACCCCTGTGTCGATTTGCACTGTGTGCATAATTTCAATTGTTTATCTGGAATCAGGGGGGGAAATTGTATCTGGCATTATGCAAAGTTCCCAATTTTAAAAGATTCCCATTCTTTATTTGGCAACAGGGGGGCGTGCTGGGGTTTGGGGGGGTTGTCTCCTTCTAACCAAACATTTAAAATAATTAAACATACATATAAACAAACAAACAAATTCCATACCTGAAACCTTCAGAGGGTCTAAAAACTAGTCAGTGAGTCTTAAAAATAGCTGAAAGTTCCACATTTAATAGTATGAGTTTATTAATCTTTTCCCACAATAAATTAAATTAATGTAAAGCACTGCTCTATTAGAAAGATGTAGGCATCATCCTTATAATGGGAATTATAGCACAAATTTCCTGAGAAGAAGAGATAGATAGGTTTATCAATTTTGGTTTTTCTCCATTTCTCATTCATCCAGTTTTAAGTTCAGTTTGCCATATTTCTGCATCTGTTTGTGATTTTAAAAAATGTCCTTGTAAAAATTCATCAGTGTTTTACTGCTTTTTCCTCCCAATACACCTTTTTCTGTGCATAATTTTACCTAATCTACAGACACATATACACATTTTTACCTAATTACCATATATTATCCTGCCTAATATACTCAACTTTATATAATGCATTCATGTATATTATTCTCACTGATATATGCAGTTTTGTATTCATTCCCCCAATATATACATTTGCATATACATTTTGTATCACAAAATTCAGATAAGTCCGGATTTCAAAGGATAGCTGTGTTTTGCTTCATTCATTGTTTGCGAAAGTAAGAATTTGGTAGTTTCACATTACAATTATTCAAAACAAAACTGAATTTCTTCCCCTTTCTTACTTCGAAGTAAACCCTGCTATGTTCTGTGAAGCTTACTCCCTAATAAGTGTTTAGGATTGCAATCTGAAAATAAAAACTAAAATTAGAACTGTCACATGGCTGGCAAGTTTTCCTTCGCCACCCTTTCTTAAGCTTGTTCCACGGAGCAATCTTCTGCCCTCAAAATCATGAATCTTTGCCTTTGTTTCCGTCTCTGCATTTATAAATCAAAGCAGCCAACCTATTTCTAGACATGTCTTCAATTAGTTCCTCAGCAACTTGCAACTGTATTAACACAGCTGTCTGAAGAGGGTAGTTCAATAAAATGTAGCCTTTGTCAAGGGAGAAGAAAAGGAAATTTTATTAGTAGCCGGCCAGGATGTTCCCACAAGCTGAATCTTCTTCTCTGCTTTCTATCATTGCTCAGATCTCTGCCTGTCCACCCAATTCCATCGCAGTCAGCACTGCGTTCCCATTTTGTTTAGCCATTTTCAGTGTTGCAATCTAAAGCAATTATGTAGATGGACGGAAGGCTACATTAAAGATCTTGCTAAGCTCTATTCTTTCATTATGAAAAATAGATGTGGCTCTTCCATAAAAAGATCATGTTGTGATTCCACAGCTCTGGTTTTCTGTATTCACAAACCAGCTGACGGTGAGATTTCCCTTCTTTCATGTTCCTTATAAAGAGAGATGAACCCACCCACCCCCGCCTAGCCTAATTCTCTGCTGAAAAATAAAGATGCCAAACTCTGTCAACTCCTACATGCCTGTGAGTTTGCTCACTGGGTCTCGCATTGATCTTCTGGGTATGCCTTCCCCCAGCCTGATGCCTCCAGATGTTTTGGATCACAGCTCCCACCAGCCCCAGCCAGTAGGGCCAAGGGTCAGGGATGACTGGAGTTGTTGTCCAAAAACATATGGAGGACAACCAGGTTGGGGAATGCTGGCCGATGTAGGCACCTGGATGCAGCTGTAGTCTTTGGTGGACAGTAGACAAGCTCAAGATGACCAGATGCTTCATCCTAGCAGGATGGAAGTCTTTGGCATTTAAGTCCATTGAATGTGCTGCTAGCTGTTTCCTGCAGCAATGCGTGGAGCTACAAAGCAGCCAACGTGGAAGAAGGTGGAGGACCAGAAGTGAGATCATTTTATAGTAGGTCAGTGCATTTGGCTGTTCACCAGAAGGTTAGTGGTTTGAGCCCATCCAGGGATGGCTGTGAGCAGGATTCCTGCATTGCTGGCGGTTGGACTAGATGACCCTTGAAATCCCTTCCAACTCTACAATTCTATGATTCTGGGATCAGAGAACAGGCAACTGTCAATCCTTTAACTATATCAGCAGTCCACTCCAGTGTTACACCATGTTAAGGGTCTAGGAAAGTGTCTTAATAGTGAAATTAAAAGGATATAAAATAATTGCACTTTTATTGCAGACTTCTTTAGGAGGGGAATTAATATTCTTCCCAAGCTAACTAAGGCTACAGTCCTTAACCCCTCTTACCTGGAAATTAGCTCCAATGAATTCAATATGGATTACTTCTGAGTAGACATAGATAGGGTTGGGCTGTAAGACCACAGTCCAATGCATCCTCTCACCTGGGCGCAAACCCCATTGAACTTCATTGGGCATGTATAGGATAACATGTTTAGAAGCCGCATTTATATTTGCAACTCCTGGGTTCCAAATTCATTTTCTTTTTCAAATGAAAGCTGAAAGGGTAAACCCCATTAACTGTTTGTTTGGTTGTTGTTTTTTAACTTTACCCTCCTGTATGAGTCATGGAGAAAGGAAAAACTCTGCTACAGATTCCACACATGAATATCTCATTTCCAGCTCTGCCCCCTTTCCTTACATATTGCCCTTGCGCTGAGACAACTGACAGTGCTAATTACTGTACTAGTAGACATTAACTTAATTATCCTAATCAGCCCACCACGGAGCTGACAGGTATGCTTTTTATGTCACAGTTGGTTCATAACATGTAATCCACTGTGAAT